TTTAATAACAGGAAATGGTCTTTCTTTCTTTCTTTCTTTCTTTCTTTCTTTCTTTCTTTCTTTCTTTCTTTCTTTCTTTCTTTTTTGCTATTACCCAATGAGTTACAAGAAGATTTAGATGCTTTTTCACTTGGCTAAGATGCCTTTTGATCAGAAAACAATTTTGATTAAACAAATGTAGAAATTAATTCGTAATTAATATAGACTATCTGCTTAATTAATCTTAAATGAGCTAAGTGCTAAAAGTTATGAACATACTAAGTCATTTCTAAAAAAGTGCAAACCTATGTTTCCCTGTAACTCTTCTTATTCCTTTAATTGCTGAGGCTTTAACATGTCATTAAATGCCAAGACATTTCCCATTTTCACAAACAGTAGTGAATAAAATAATACTGGATAACTCAAAGCATGATGACTTAATATGATGCTTCTCTATGATGGTAGAAGGAAACAGAAAATATAGTTGTACTTTCAGTGATAGTTATACAGTTGATATATTGTAGACTTATATTGTCAAGTTTTCAGTGACAATTTGCTGTATTTTTGACATTCACATATGCTTCTTTTAACATTGAATATACTGATCAATAATTCCTCTGTAAATAATAGCAGTTCACTTGGTACAGTATTATGTATGATAATCTCAAGGAAATCATTGATATTAGGGGCCAGAATAGTTGAAGAAATATCAATTAGGTCAAGTGGAATAGAGAAACTAATAATAAAATCAGGGGAATTTATCTGAATTTGGGAAGATAGAATCAGAGAGAGGAATTAACTATAATCCCTAAGAATTAACAAGAACCTAATAGTGAAAGACTTGTGTTAAGAATAGGTGTTAAGGACAGGATATAAAACTAATTTATTGCATAGGAATATTTTATTCTTTCGTGTGATGATTTATTCTAACTTCAAATTGTGTTTATTATTTTTTTTAACTACAGTTTTAAAAAATTTTTTTAAAAACCCTCTAATGGCGTATCTGCACTGCTTACTTGCCCTTTCACCAGAATGGGACAGAAACTATTTTTTGAGGGCAGAAACAACTAGCATCAACCTTTATAAGAGGAGATGGTATCTGCAACCTGGACTGAATTCTTTGCAAATTGTTACCAAAGTGCCTCAGTTGGGACATTTTTTTCTTAAAATGGATTGGATTCCAGCTGCCATGAGCATAAGGCAGGAGCAGTTTAAACAGTAAATGCAGATATGCTCTAAGAATATATCTCACACCACATGCTGGTTTTTATAAAACACTGTTAAATAGCCAAACAGGAGACTGCTATGGTTCTGTGTAAAGCAGAGGTTGGTAAAATATTATTTTGTAGCATATTAGAAATTCTGGGGTGTGCCAGGTAGTTACTTTTTTAATGACATTTGGAGGTCAAGGTCTTATAGGGAACTCTCAGATATGCATGACATTGTTTCTGATTTGGAAATAACCCGTTTTCTAGCTTGTTTCCTCTCAAACAAAAGGACAAGTTAGACAACTATGTGCAAGTACATGAAGACTGTTTATTAAACTGAGACTTGATCATCTAACTATAACCATGGTGTAGTAAATAGTTCACATGTAAACAGGCTTACATTACTGAATGAACTTTGAAGTAAGTACGGTTTTCTATGTATAATCTTCTGGAAGCAAAACCTGGAATAATATATATTAGACAATTAAGTATATGGCAAAATTATATTCATTTTCCACAGCAAATTATCTTTCTGAAACAGTTCTGAAAATGTTTATTCTTAATTTAGTATATATAGAGAGGTGAGACCTGAAAAATCAAGTTTATTCTTTTTTTCCATTCAGACAAGTTCACAGTGGAATTGGTATTTAGATAAGTATTTCACAGGGCATGGAAAATTCCTGTGTAAATTTCACAGTATATACAACATGCAGTTACAAAACAATTATAATTGGAAATAGCAAGGAACAAGAGAAAGTAGAGCTATACCAATGATACAGCCAAGCCTTGTGTTAATTGGAATTTTAAAAATTGGATAAACACTTAAGCTAGTGCATAGCAAGGGTAAGAACAAAGTTGTTATTTATATAATTAAAAGATGCTAATTTAAATTATAAATAGAAGTGTACTTCTTAAATGAGAAAATAGTTACTATGTTTATTGTGGCTTGTCAAGACATGGCTTCCTGTACATCTTAGTATAGCATTAATTTGAAACTTTATTCTTTCCAATGAAATAATAGAAATTCTGTTGCAGAAGACAAACATCCCCTTGGATTGTGTGAGTTTGCTTCTTTTTCGTTCCTGTCCAGTTCTTGTCATTTCTTTTTTCCTTTTGTCTTTGTCTCTTACTGTATTTTTAAAAATATTTTTACTCATGAGATACCCAGACTTGTTGGATGTTGGACAGCGTAATCATCATCATCATCACCAGCTAGAACTGAGATGGGACTACATGTCATTTTTGAATGAAGATGTATTTTAGATTAGCAATTAATGGTGGTAAATGTATAATTATTCCAAATTATAAATAAAGATTTTCAGACAGGTTTGGTGACAGCAATCATATGTTTTGTTCTTAACTTGTGTTTGCAGGTGAATACATCACTTGCAAAAACAAAACATTAAATTGCACTGCAATTATTATATGACAATTTAATACCTCTGACAGTACTTCTGACAGGATTTTATAGGGGATTAACATGGCAGATGCCAGCCACTTTGGCTCTAGTTCTGAGAGAAACAGCAGGTCCAGATACTTGTTCCTGATATTTTGGATCAGGTCCTCCTTATAGAGCTTCTCCAAAGAGCAACTGCTGACCCATGACCTGATTCAACATGAAGAAGCATGCTAATATTGTTCAACATTTATTTATTTAGTTTTATTTATTCACTTTGCTTGCATGTCACCCATTCCAAAGGGAAGCAGTTGTGTGTTGAGCTTGGTTTCCTGCTACAGGCAACTGCTGTCTTTCCCTGCAAAGGCATGTCAGTGTTTGGCAGTCAGGTAGGCTTCCTTCTAGCCAGATTACAAATTGCAAGGACTGAGGCAAGGCAGTGCCTAACAAAAGTCCAGAAGTTAACTGAGGTAGCAAGGAAGAGAAGAGGAAGGTCAGGTTACTAATTGAATCTGGATCCAGGTAGTCTATCTAGGGTATAAGTTCCAGCAGCTTATCATAGATGGCGAGATGGGACAATTTCTGAGGCCTCTCTGGTGCCACCTCATCCTCTGATTATGACTTCTTTTTAGAGGCCATGCCATCTCTTCAGTGACATCTCCAAGTCATTGCTCCTTCCTTGCTGAATAGAGCGTATGAAGGAAGAGATTAGCCGGGCCTCTGTCTGCCTGTTGACTCTGCAATCCATCCCCTGGGTAGATTTCATAGCCTTTTTAGTACTGACTTCCTAAATTTCCTGGCAAAAGATGTCTGGCTCCATTCCTTCCTAATTTTATATAGCATATCAAGATATTTCTATTTTAGCAAGTATTTGAGTTGGATAACAGCCTAGTACAGTGGTTCCCAAACTGCATTGTGGTACCCCATGGTGCTGCAGTGAACTGACAGGGGCACTGAAGGATTTTTTTCTACTAAATAAATGTAACTGTTAGTAAATTTGCTGCAGTGCCCTGGGGCAGAGCAACATACAGTTTTGGAACCAATAGGTGCGTCGCAAACTGAGAATGTTTGGGAATCTCTGGCCTAGTAACTGTTTTTTTGTAATTTTACTTGTTCATGTTTTATTGAATGCTCTCACAGACATACTAATTACTCTTATGTGTGTTTTATGTATTTGTAGACATTATAAGTTACTGCAGTAGATAGAAAGATGAGTGAGAGAATGGTACATAATGAATAAAAGCCTAACTGATTGAAGAACTGAAAATTCTGTCAGTGACTATAAATGTGGAAAAGTTTGTCTCTTTCCCATGTTGTTGTGCCAATGCTTTTCCTAACTGTACTTTGTCTCAATTTCCCAACTTAAAACTTAAAATTAAGTTTTGGTTCTTATTCATAGAGCCCTTAATGTCTTGGAAGCAGCTTTCCTAAACAATTAGTGTGCTCAAGATGCTCCTGCTAATGAAATGAAGTGTGCGGTTACCAACAACAGGACCATCTTTGAGGTGGCATCGCAGTTATAAAATAAGATATACAGAGAGGCTCATTTGATTCAACCAGGCCTCTCAAACAACCCTAAGAGTCTAGAATATTTATTTATTCTAATTCTGTTTTTTGTTTTATGCTGTCATAGTCATAAGGAAAGTTTTGGGTGTTGCTTTTTACTAGTGCTATTTTTAATTGGGGGGACTTATACAGTGGTACCTCGGTTCACAAACTTAATTCGTTCCGCGACCCGAATCAAATTTTCCCATAAGGTTCAATGTAAATACAGTTAATCCGTTCTGACCCCTCTGAATTTGGTCGCCAACCGATTTTAGTTGCGACCCGAATCAAATTTTCCGATAAGGTTCAATGTAATTACGGCTAATCCGTTCTGAACCATA